AGAAGGGTCTAGGCCCGAAACGTCAGCTTTCCTGCTCCTCTGATGCTGCTTGGCCTGCTGTGTTCATCCAGCTCTGCACCTTGTTATCTCAGATTCTCCAGCATCTGCAGTTCCTACTATCTATGAAATTGAAGCGTTTTGTCTTGCATTCATCAGGGAAAAAAAACATTTTATACGTGAGAGATGATGGTGCTGGTTGGTTGGCATGGAGATACAAGAGGAATGGTTAAATGCTTTTAGTTAATTTAGTCCATTCAAAGCAGGCAGGTTGACTGTGGTTTGTTGGATTATGGCTGGCGTGGAAAACTATTGAGCACCCTGCATTTGTGTGGTAGAAATTGCTGGTACCATTCTAAAGTTGGTTTTTTTGTTGTTCCAGTTCAAGATGAAAAATTTTGACTTTTGCTCTTTTTTTGCAAGATCTGTACACCCGCACAGCTATTTGCATGGATATGTTACTAGAGACAAACAATGCCCACAGACAATAACCAGCACCAAAATTTGTTGCAAAAAGATTTACAACATGAGATAATGACAGATGTTTCTTTCTCTTACAGAGATGAGGTTACATTGCTAAAAGGAATCTCGCTGAAAGCATCTATTCTGGGTTGGAGATGTCCGCAGTCGCAGGGAAAGTGTTAGTTCAAGTTGAATTTGACTATGAGTACACAAGGGATGGGAGACTCATCTCTATTAAGCAAAATGAACGATATATTCTTGTCTCAAAAACCAATGACAACTGGTGGTATGTTAGAAAGGATTCCCATTCCAAAGCATTCTATCTGCCAGCACAATATGTGAGGGAATTGCCTCCAGAAGCTCCAGCCTCTTCTGGGGTTCAGTCCCTGGATGGATCTGACTGTACTAAAAACCAAAATGGATGCGAGGCAACGGATACAGCAGGTGTAATAAAAAACTATTGTGAAATTGGGGAAAATCAGCTGCTTCACCAAGACCAACCAGGGAAGGATAACTGCAGTTCTGATCTAATCCAGGAGAAAAAGAACCAGATCAACTCAAGTCCTGCTAAAGACAAGGATCTTCCACTCAATCCACTAGGCAACAATAGCCCTCCAACAGTGTGTGTCTCAGCAAACTCTCCACCAAGTTCGACCATGTCACCTCATTTGCTCCCATGTTACAGTGAAGTACACAGACCTGTTGTGAACAATAAAGAATCCAAGAATGCAAAGTTTGCCTCTGCAAAAGCATCGAAATGGCAAAGCTCCACAGTCAGGGTCCGTCCCAAACAGCAAGGTAACCACACCCAAAGGCTTAGCCTGGTAGGAACCTTCAGTCCAGCACAGCTGGCTTTCAATCCACAGAACCTAGATTTCAATCTCAGACTCAGTGCGGGAAAAGACATCGATCGATCAGAACAGGTCAATCCATGCCAAAGTTCCAGCTTTAATCATGAGATCAGTTCCAAAAAATATCCTTCAACAGAGACCATTGCCACGACATTGGAATGCCCGAGAACTGCAGAGAGAAAGGATGTAATGAACTCCAAGTTCTTACCACAAACACCAAAACATGATTCTGAAAATGTTTATGAATCGATTCCAGACTTTCCAAAATCAAAGTCTAAAGCACAAAAAGGAAAAGCCCATGGCTCACCAAAGGTATGTCGACAAAAAAAGAGGCATTGAGAGTTTGGGGAACAAGGTGAACGTATGTGTGTATGTCCAAGAGAGAGAAAAGGTTTGTTTGTGTGATTTTTGTCTGTCCATGGAAGGTGTTATTCACTCCCTCATAGCCTTTTCCTTTTCCTTTTCCCACATTTGTTTCCATCATCGGATTTAGTTGTCGCCTTCCTGCTTCTGTGAGCTGATCACTACTCTAATCTTGCCTAGTAATGGTACCATTGAGATCTGATTCAGTTTTAGTCTTCATGCTAGGACTAGATTGGGACTTCCAGGCAAATGGAAATTCATTATCATAAATACAAGTAAGAGCCTTACTTCCATACATCATCACCTTTTGCAGATCTTAGTCTGACTGCAGAGAAAGGCTGGAATGGACACATGCAGCAGGAATGAATAAATATTTTGTTTAGAATCTTAGACACAAGAGCTCTGAATTAACAGGTTTTGTTCATAATTTAATCATTTGTTCAAGGGTCAAATAGACCAGATAGAAAGTGCCCAAATTGTGACCACTTAGAATTCTAAGGAAATCTAGAGAAGGGATTGGAATTGGGAAGGTAGACCAGGGATGGTATTTAATGCAAGCAACAGAGTTTCACTCTCCACCTGCAGAGTGCAAATGCATTCAGTGCCTGAATAAGGGACCTGACATCAGGGTGTGAGGAGTGGTTGAAGTGAATGGGGGTGGAGAGGGGGTGGGTAGTGCATTGTGATCCATTTCCCTGTTCTTGTGCTAAATTCCAGACTCTTACCTGCTCCTTTCTCCCACCATCACTTGCCTGTGACCTGCGCATGTCGTGACAAAACTTGGATAGGTGTAGTACCTGAAGCAGCCACTGTCTCCTGCTGGCGTTGCCATTCAGTAGAGCTGCTAGTCTGGCCAACAGCTGTCCTGTTGCATTCCCAATGACAGGCGACTTGGGGTTACCACCAACAATGAGACCTCACTGGAAATACCACCCATTATTTCACATTAAGATAGGAAAGTGGGTTAGTTTTTGGATTTCCATTCCCATTACTACCTTCGAATTTTATAAGATCCCCCCTTCGGCACTTCCTATTTGGGTCCCTGGACAGAAGTTTCCATTAGAATGTGAAGGAGTCAGAAGGTACAGAAAAGATTTATGACAAGTTTGCAGGAATGTGGAACTTCACTTATGTGAGTATGTTAGGAAAGCTGGAATTGTTTACTTTAAGTATGGAAGATTGAAATGAGATTGGAAAAGATTCTCAAACTATGGTGGGTTGTAGGCAAAGTAGATGTTACCAGTGGTGGCAGTTTGAGAGCCAGAAAATCAATGTCAGTTTATTTGTAAAAGAAAACCTTTATGACGCACAAGCTGTTTGTTTGTGTTTTCACCTGGAATGCGCAGCTTGAGAGTGTGGTGACATGTATTCAATTGTAGTTTTTGAAAAGCAATTGTACAAGTGCTGTAAAAGAGAGATAAATGCAAGCCTACAGGTAAAAGGCAGAAGACCAGAATTAGTTGAGTTGCTCTTGAAAAGAGCTGGCGCAGAGTTGGCTGCCTAAATGGTCTCTTTCTGTGCCCTAACCATTCTATGATTCTATTGCAGATACACAGTTCCTCACTCCAGTTTCTAAACTGTGCATTTTTGCTCAACCTAACCTGTTATTACTCTTTATCTGAAGGGGGACTTAATGATTGAAAAATAGTTGTAAATTGTAAAAAAATCTACTGTAGTTCATTTTTTAGTTTTCATTTCTCTGTACTGTGCTATGGCGACATTGAACTTGACGTGGCATTTGGTTACCAACAGGGAATGATGCCGTTTTCTTTTTGAGTAAATGTAGCGAATGAGGATGTAATCTACACAGCAACCATCAAATTTTTTGCACTGTTTTGAGCTCCAGTGGGAAACCAATGACTAAAAGCATTGTTCTGGAAATTCTGAACTTTAACTCAAATTATTTGCTCACACAGGGACTCTTATTGTAAAAGTGTTTAAAGTACAACTTTTTCTGCGTTACAGTCATTCTTAAACTTTTCCAAAGCTTTTTGAAATGTTTTGAGTGAGGACATTCATGTATATGTTGTCAGGATATTTAATCTTTCCTAATATACACAGGTGCTTGTGTGTGCAGAGCTCTTGGAACTGCCACGTCCCCATGAAAGCCAGGCAGTTTAAAGAAGGTACTGCCAACTGCAAGCTGAGAATTGATTTCTAAATGTAATCATTGCTATTGATGGTCATGATCAAATTGTCAAGTTTGCAGCTGATGCCAAACTAGGAGGGATAGTGGATTCAGAACAGATAGACTCGAAACCCTAGAATGCATTGGAGAAAATATGTAAGTTGGAGGGATTTAAAGTAGACTTAGAAGTTCTGCACATAGAAACCTAACTTGGAAATACATCACTGTTCCTTCACAGTCACTGGGTCAAAATGCTGGACTTTCCTCCGTAATGACAAATTGAGTCCACCTGGACTGCAGCAGTTCAAGAACCTAAGAACATAAGAACTAGGAGCAGGAGTAGGCCCTCGAGCCTGCTCCGCCATTCAATAAGATCATGGCTGATCTTTTTGAGACTCAGCTCCACTTACCCACCCACTCACCATAACCCTTAATTCCTTTACTGTTCAAAAATTTATCTAGCCTTGCCTTAAAAACATTCAGCGAGGTAGCTTCAACCGCTTCACTGGGCAGGGAATTCCACAGATTCACAACCCTTTGGGTGAAGAAGTTCCTCCTGACCTCAGTCCTACATCTGCTTCCCTTTATTTCGTATGCCCCCGAGTCCTAGTTTCACCTGCTAGTGAAAACAACCTCCCTGCTTCCACCTTAACTATTCCCTTCATAATCTTGTATGTTTCTATAAGATCTCCCCTCATGCTTCTGAATTCCAATGAGTATAATCCCAGCCTACTCAGTCTCTCCTCATAGTCCAACCCTCTCAACTTTGGAATCAGCTGAGTGAATCTCATCTGCAACCCCTCCAGTGCAGTATATCCCTTCTTAAGTAAGAAGACCAAAACTGCACACAGTACTCCAGGTGTGGCCTCACCAGGACCCTATACAACTGCAGCATTGCCTCCCTGTTTTTAATCTCCATCCCTCTAGCAATGGCAGACAAACTTCCATTTGCCTTTTAATTACCTGCTATCCTACTTTTAGCGATTCATGCACAAGGACATCCAAGTCCCTCTGCACAGCAGCGTGCTGCAATTTTTTACCATTTAAAACATAGTCCATTTTGCTGTTATTCCTACCAAAATGGATGACCTCACACTTATCAACATTGTACTCCATCTGCCAGACTTTTGCCCTCTCATTTAGACTATCTATATCCCTCTGCAGACTTTCCATGTCTTCTGCACACTTTGCTCTACCACTCATCTTAGTGTCATCTGCAAATTTTGACAGACCACACTTAGTCCCCAACTCCAAATCATCTATGTAAATTGAAAACAGTTGCGGTCCCAACACTGATCCCTGAGGCACACCACTAGCCACTGACTGCCAACCAGAAAAACACCCATTTACCCCTACTCTTTGTTTTCTAGTAATCAACCAATCCTCTATCCATGCCAGTACATAACCTGTAATACCGTGCAACCTTATCTTATGTGGCAGCCTTTGGTGTGGCACCTGGTCAAATGCCTTCTAGAAATCCAGATACACCACATCCACAGGTTTTCCCATTGTCCACCATGCAAGTAATCTCCTCAGAATATTCCACCAAATTAGTTCAACATGGCCTACCCTTCATGAACCCATGCTGGGTATTCCCAATGGGACAATTTATATCCAGATGTCTTGCTATTTCTTCCTTAATGATAGATTCAAGCATTTTCCCCCACTACCAAAGTTAAGCTAACTGGCCTATAGTTACCTGCTTTTTGTCTACTTCCTTTTTTAAACAGTGGTGTCACATTGGTTGTTTTCCAATCTGCGGGAACTACCCCAGAGTCCAATGAATTTTGGTAAATAATTACTAGTGCATTTGCTATTTCCCCCATCACCTCTTTTAGTACCCTGGGATGCATTTCATCAGGGCCAGGAGACTTGTCTACCTTTAGCCCCATTAGCTTGCCCAGCACTGCCTCCTTAGTGATAATGATAATTTCTAGGTCCTCACCTGCTATAACCCCTTGCCATCAGTTTTCGGCATGTTATTTGTGTCTTCCTCTGTGAAGACCGACACAAATTAACTGTTTAATGCCTTGGCTGTTTCCTCATTCCCAGTTATTAAATTGGCCTTCTCATCCTCCAGAGAACCAATGTTTACCTTCGCCACTCTTCTACGATTTATATATTTATAGAAACTTTTGCTGCCTGTTTTTATATTCTGAACTAGTTTACTATCATAATCTATCTTACTTTTCTTTATAACTTTTTTTGTGGCTTTCTGTTGGCCTTTAAAGATTTCCCAGTCTACTAGTTTCCCACTACTCTCTGCTTTTTTGTATGTGTTTTTTTTTTCAATTTTATACTTTCCTTTATTTCCTTAGACATCCATGGCTGACTATCTCTTTTCCTACAGTTCTTCCTTACCAGTGGAATATACTTCTGCTGAGCACTGTGAAAAATCGTTTTGAAAGTCCTCCACTGTTCCTCAATTGACCCACCATGAAGTTTTTGCTCCCATTCTACCTTAGCTAACTCCTCCCTCATCCCATCATAGTCTCATCTGTTTAAGCACAGGTCATTGGTACTGGATTTAACCTTCTCATGCTCCATCTGTATTTTAAATTCAACCATACTGTGATCGCTCCTTCCAAGAGGATCCCTAACTGTGAGATCATTAATTATTCCTGTCTAATTATACAGGACTAGATCTAGGATAGCTTGCTCCCTCGTAGGTTCCATTACATATTGTTCAAGGAAATTATTGCGGATGCATTCTACGAACCCCTCCTCAAGGCTGCCATGACCGACCTGGTTTGACCAATCGATATGTAGATTAAAATCCCCCATGATAATTGCTGTACCATTTTTACATGCATTAGCTATT